ATTCAGTAGGCCAACATTTCTCCATATTATAATTCAATACACAATTTGTAATGAAATAAACAAAAATACATGGATTTTATATTTTCAATCTAGTTTATAACAGTACATGATTTTATATTTTATAGAGCATGACATGAAGATAAGTTAAACTCACACGCAAACATGGACGCATAAAAGCATATGTAGTGATGCCTACTTAAAACTCCCTTTTTATCATCTGCTTCCTACTTTGGGCAGGTGCAAAGCTAAAATAAAATAGTGGACTATTTCAAACACAAAGCTATTTCAAATGCCAAGAAAAGAATAGAGTAGTAAAGAGCAAATATATATTTAGATTGGGCCTAAGCATAAAATTCACAATATACATTTATTTTCATAACAGAGCTTCAAAATACTATGAAATGCACAATGATGCATGAATTGTATAACTAAATAATTAAAATAAAGTATTCTTAAGTCACTTAATTTTATAAGAATCCTCCCCCCCTCCAAATTTCGTATGCCTACAAAAATATTCTAGAACATTACTAATTCATAGAGGCTATATAAAATGCTAATTTAACATATTTTTTCAACTACAAAAAGGTTCATAACTGGCACATTTGTCCAAAAATTTTAGAAATTTATATAGAGAAAATCAATATATGAAAATTTGTATTCTTATAGCCAACCTATCCAATATAGAGCATGGAGCATTATAGTACATGGTGAAACTTTCTACAAATCTAAGAAAACATGTTTTTAAGCATATTTTTTTATAAGAATACCATAGTTAAAATCACAAATAGAGCATAGGTTTCCTACCTCAAAGCCGGACAATTTCCTTAACTAGTTTGATGGATAATTTTTGGGCTATGGCCACCAAATCTTCTCCTCTCTTTTCTCTCTCCTCTTTATTCTCATTGTGGTGTGACCTCCTCATTTTCATAGCACTCCATGATAATCTTTTATACTCTCCCAAATCTCATCAATAGTGAATCACACAGTGCCATAATGCCTCTCAACACCATAATACCTCCCTAAATCTAAATCTTAATCAGAGAACTCAATTGCCATAATACCCCGTTGTATTGGGCTCAATAGTACCCTCAAACATTGGAGGCTTTAATCATATAAACATATTTAAATTTCAATGCACATCATCAGACCAGGTAGAAGAAACCCTATTCAAGGCTTAACTCATCAACTATGTAACTAACCCAGTAAGTTAAGACATTGAATTATAACTAATAGCAAGATCAGTGCTCTATACTAACACAATATTATTAGCACTATGCTCATTAGTCATATATGGTTCTTGTGGTTTCATCAGATAATCTCATAGAATGTACACAGTTGATAAAATAAATAGAAATTAATGCCCAACACCGCCTATAACTTCCTTACTTGATTACAAATCAATTATTATAGCTCTATTTACAATTAAATCTCCAAGTTATTGCTCTTATACAAAAAGGAACTATCATATCCCAACTTATTATAACTCATAGATAGAACATATCATATCATGTTAATTGGTGACATATCAAACTCACAATGTAATTTGGAGAACTATTTAGATTTATTTAGTTAGAATGGACAACAAAGCTACTATTTAACTACCAATTAATAAAAAAATATACTCATCCACAATTTTCCTTTCATTCATCTTCAAAATATATATATAAAAAAAAATTCTTTACAATATAATTAATGGCTATAAATAGCAGTAGAATAGATAAAAAAATGGCAATGATTATACAAAAAAAGACTTAGACCTTCAGATCCTACAATTTTAACTACTCAAGTAGCTCATTACCCTTTTCCTGATCTGAAATAAAACGTAGAATAGGTGTGAGCCAATATAGCTCAGTGTGTCACACCCACCTATCTAAATTTTTAATATTTAACTCAATATTTATTTAAAAAGATTAGGAAAATGATTATGAAATAAGTATTCTACTAAACATAATAGTGCTGATAGATAACATAAATTAAACAGTCCTTGCTCAAAACATAAATAAATAAGCACTTTTTATATCAGAACAAAAATTAACGAATTTTCCTCATACTCTCAAACCTTTCAATAGAAACATATATCATAATTTAGGCCCTTATAACATCTAAAAGCTTAACACATCAAATATTTTAAAATTTAGACATTTATAACTCCAGTGCATTCAGCACAACTGAACTTTCACCAATCATGAAAAGTTATCATAAATCACACACTTTAAGTATTAAGCGCATATATAATTGTATTTTTAATGAAGTAAGTGAAAATGATCATAATGTAGTAAATCGTAGAATACTATACTCGTAGCAAAAATATTTAACAAACTGAGTAGAAATTAACATTTTCTAGTTTTTACCAAATTATCATAGATTATTCATAATACTATTTTGAAGCTTTTATTGTATAACAACATAAATTTTTGAAGTAAGAATTTTTATAGATTGCTAAAATTAATTAATAGATTTTCAAAACTACCTTACAAAACTTTCAGAAAAAAAAAGTTCAAAATATTTGTATGGGCAATATACCAGAAGTTACATGGTGAAATTTTAGTAGATGTGAAGTTATCCTCATTTGAACCTCATAAATTTATAATTTTAATTAAATTCTAAAATTCTCTTATGATTAAAAGCTGAGATAGGCATAATATAACTTACCTCAATTCGGACAACTTCCTGGATTAGGCTGATAGTAGAAAATTGATTGAAGTAGCTCTAACCCAACTTTCTTTCTCTAGAAAACCCTCTCTCTTGGACAAGTAGCCTAAGGTGTTTTTTTTTTTTTTGGCTCAAAGAGAATTTTAAGTGGAAATAAATATTTATTAAAAAAATTAATATAGCATTGTGGCACTCCAAACCACGACGTCATGGCGCCAACACCGTTCACATTAAATGACCTAAACTTAAGAGCTTACAACATACTGTCCCAACCTAGCTCTGTAGCGCTTCCAAGGAAAAAATTTAAATTTAGATTTATGTATATAGAATTCCCTTTGGTTGCTTCAAAATAGATCACAAGCGCACCAAAGCATTCAAATAACATGCTCAGATAGATAACATGCATATGATTTTTTGCATTTTACCGGAATGAATCAAACTTGTTAGAATTCTATAGTAGGCATAACACACACATGCTCTCTCTCTCTCTCTCTCTCTCTCTCTCTCTCTCTCTCTCTCTCTCTTCATCCCCCTCTTCTCTCAAGGGTTAACTACATCGTGTTGTAATGGCAATCTTTATTATTCAGCCTCTTCTAATTATTAAATTATTTGAGTTAGATGCTTATTTATCCTGTGAATACAATCTTCCAAAGATAAGCCAAAGAAACCATCATTAGCTAGAGTATAATGTCTTGGACTTAGGGATTGATTCAGATAATGTTGAGTGCAAGAGTGGGATGCTCTATTATAGTGCGCATAGCTTTTGTCAGACATTGAAGATGTGTTTGTATAATACTAGGAACATTTTTCACAAATAGTGCCATATTATATGCGCTACATAATATTTAAGGCAATAATGAAAGATTTGATATCTTAGCTTTTGTTCAAAAACTTAGCACACACATTGGCAAGAAAGTCTTAAGAGATACTAAATTTTTTCTTAAAAACTTATTAAAAAAAAATCATTGGGCATAACCTCGAAATGATCCACCATGTAAGTAATATCATAAATTTCTTCTCTTCCCCTCAATTAGAGAAGTTGAGATTATTAAGTTGAAAAAATTTGCTTCATTTCCTATGTTTGTAGTAGAGATTGGTGAAGTAGTGGATGGTACTGTAGTTATATAACAATGGTGTGGTGATATCCATTAGGTAATGAGAGTTAGATGATGACAATCAGGCGAAGATGATTGAGCGAGATGGTAAGATCATGATAGTCGGGGAGATGGTGGTCGAGTGACATCGATGATTGGTGGTGTATGTCGGCGCTAGTAGTTGAATAGGCTTCTAGAGTTTTTTAATTTTTAAGATCTCTCCAAATTTAGTTCATGGGTTCCTTTTTTGTGGAGAATGTGATTTTATTTATAATTTCTTGGGGTGATATTTTGAAATTTAAGCCGAAATTTTGATATATTTCATTGTATAGTCTATGCTAATTTCTTTGATGATATATCATTTGTTTGGCATTTAAATGCCTTAATAACCTAAAAAAAAATCTTTTTTTTTAATCAAATGGCGCCTCTTCCATAACTTGAGCTCATTAGATTTCTCTTATCAAAACGCTTATTTTGACCATATGTATGCAATATTCAAAGATCTTTTTGTCATTTAATTAATATCGCAAAACTTTCAAGTATGCTTTATGCGCTTGATTTTTGGGCTCTTTTGAACTCACTTCAAAATAATTTTAGTATTATTGGATCTATCTCATCAAAATATTTTTGTTAACTATAAATTTATTAAAATTAAAATTTGAATGGTCCTGAATTTTAAAATGTTATATCAAGAATCATAGTTGATTAGATGAAATATCCGATGATGACGTATCAATGCTCATATGAGTCAATCTTAATGTGCAATGAATGCTACTTAAAAGTTCTTTTGATGATATTATACTTTCTCTTCACATATGCATAATAAAAGTTGCCCAATGTTGTCTTCCAAAGTTTAGATATTTGATTTTGAGAGTCAATATATTATAATATATTATAATGTTTAGACATTAATATTCAAACGTTACAATAATTGTTATCATTAGATTATGATTTTAATAATGCAATTTAATCATTTGAAGATTATAATTTTATTTTAAGTTTAGTGTAAGTAAAAGTATTTAGCAAAGTAATAAAAATATAATATTAACTATTTGAAATGATTTTTTGATATGTTAAAATAAGTATTACTTGAAACAACAACCTTCTCTTTCAACCCTTCATCAAGCCATAAATCCTTCACCTTCTCCTCCAACAAGCTCAAATGATTTATTTCGCCTAATCCTTCTCTAATGATATTATGATTGAGGTCAGACAGATCCAATCTGAAATGGGTCAAAAACTAGTTCAATGATATAAGAAAAGAAACTACAATCCATAGCTTGATAATGGAAATGTCACATTTTGCTAAGAATAAAATATAACTCCAATATTAATGATAAAAAATGCCTTGTAATCTATTATAGGCTGAAACTTATTGAAGCCACAGGAGGAATTTGCATCACACTATCCCTCTTTTACATCTTTTAAAACTCTTCCGATTAGATTAAGATTTCGATTGGGACGGCTTTTTTATTGCTTCTTAAAGCAGCTTTTTAGTACAAAATTTTTTAATTTCTGTATTAAAAAACTGTTTTAAGAAGCAGTAAAAAAGTCGTCCCAAACGAAACCTAAAGCTCGCCACTTATTGAATATTTTACAAGGAAACTAAGAGACTACGACGATATGAATCTGCCCCATAAACCCTTAAAAACTTGAAAAGCAGTTCCAACGATTAACACCGAAAACACAGCAACGATCCCCACCAGACCTGAGATGAACAGATACCCTCTATCATTGCTTCTGTGACCCCCAGAGGCAGAAGCCCTTTGTTGGGGATTGACTTGAGCTGCTCTGAAACTTGAAACACGCTCAAAGGCCCTGGAAATCAAGGCATTCTCTGAAGCAAATGCAGGGCTGCTTGGAACTGAATGAAGGAAGCCTGAAAGAGTAGAGTTAAACCAAGATGGTGAAGGACTTTCAGCAGGGCCGATCTGTTCGACAAAGTGTATCTCTGAAGTACTTGGCAAATTACTGGCGATAGGAAAGCCTGCAGTATAACTAAAAACATGAGATACATCTCTTTATTTTATTTTTCCAAAAAACATAGAACAGAAATGGCCAGTATTGCTTATTAAAAAGAAGGGATTTTTACATACATAACATCTAAAACTATTGAAAATACTTTAATTAGCACCTAAAATTCTATATTTATTAATATACCACCAAAACCCCTCTTTTAATCAAATCTAACATTCTGTTTAAACCTTCCGTCAAAAATTACTATCAATGGTTGTCTTTCCCATCAATAGCAACCTTTTACAGTGAATACAAGTATCTCATCGCTTCAATGGAGTGGTAGAACAGAAGGAAAAGGGAATTTTAGGTGGTACATTAATAAATATAGATGTTTAGGTGTTAAATATTTATTTTCAATAGTTTTAGGTGTATGTATATAAAAATCCCTAAAAAGAAATAAGTGACAAAGAAGGCACCTGCTGCCGGAGGTGTTAAGGCCACCACCTCATTTGTATTTGCAAAAGTTGTCAAGTTATAATTCTCCTCATGTGCCCATAACTGACTGCTTATATGCAATGCATTGTTTTGAGGGTCTTCTTCAGAAAAGCTATCAAAATGGTGATGTGGTGTTTTGGGATCCAGTGGCACTCCCAAGGACTCGGTTAACAACATATTGACATTGAATTGATCGAATGGATCCATTGGCACTCCCAAGGACTCGGTTAACAACATATTGGCATCGAATTGATCGAATGGATCAAAGAACACGTCAGTATCAAAAGTGAGATTTCTGTCAGTGATATCATCCAAGTAGAATGAGGTCATTGGGTCATTTAAATCTTTGATTTCAAGAAACTCTTCATCAGTTGTCACAATATGCTGATTTGAGATCATGTTAGGCAATCCAATTGGTTGAGAATGGGCTAATTCTGGCTGTATATTTTGGAATCTCATCTCCATGCTGCTATTCTCACCCCCAGTATCGATACCTAGGAAAGAATCATCAGCATCAACATAAGATAGATTCATGACATGGCTTCCATTTTCTGGTTCAAGATCTACCTGGAGCTGTCAAAAGAAATATGCATAAGTTAAGATGCCACTTCCTATAGAAAGTATAGATTCATAAAATGTAAAGTTGTCCAATTAGAACACATTGGTTGTTAGCCCTGATATTGGTGAAAAACATGTGAGAATTTTAACCCATCTTAGGCTTCGTTTGGGGTGGCTTTTTTATTGCTTCTTAAAGCAGCTTTCAAGTACAAAAAATTTCAACTTTTGTACTAGAAAGTTGTTTTAAGAAGAGTAAAAAAGCCGTCTCAAACGAAGCCTTAATGTGAGATTTTTAGGCGAGCATAGGTGGAAATATTTCTTGAAGGTTTAGTCACTATTTTGCTCAACATTGCTCTATAATGATATGATTACAGCACAAATACAGAACAATGCAGGAAAAAACCACCATCTAGACATAAAAATATCTATCCATCTTAAATAAGTAGCTTCATCAAAAACCATATCTTTTAAAATGCATATTATACAGTTGGATTGACATCTGGAAAGCTAGATGGAGTTCAAATTATTGAACGGACCTTGGATAAATCAGAAGTATATGCCGAGAAATCTAGATCTCCTTGAACAATTTCTTGCTCTTGCGACAAATGAAACAGAAGATCCTCCAAGTCACAGACTGGAGATGTGTCACAACCTTCACTGAAAGTAACAGGGATAGAATTGCTAGTTAAAATTGCAGCAGACATTCCATCTCCATCATTCTGGTCCATGAAGCTCTCATCTACAGCAACATCATCCCATTCCTCTTCTCTGAATGGTGCACCATACTGCTCACCATTCTTAGGACCAGGACCACTCTTCATGAATAGCTTATAGAGCGCATAAGAATCCTGCCAGAACAACGGATTCAAGATATAAGAAGGCTGCTGATGCACGCTAATAAATTAGCTAAAAGGAATTTCAAGTTTGATATAAGTGTTTGGGGCTTGCCTGCATATTTTTGAAACTCACAAGAAAATTCTCATCAAGGGTGTATTCATGCATCACCCAGTCTGTTCGTACTCCCTTAGGAGCACGACCACGATAGTAAACAAGTGTCTTTTTGTTACCTGCGGTTTTGGAATGGTGGGAGATGCCTCTGTCTTTTCCCGTGGCCTTCCAGTAACCATGTTTTGTAGCGCGGTTGGATCTCGATCCATTGGGGTACTTCCTATCCCTTGGACTGAAGAAGAACCATTGTTTGTCACCCTTCCTCAACAAGGATTTCTCTAATCACGGATCAAAAGGAAAAAAACATAAGGTATGTGGATAAGAAATGAACTAAAGCTGTTTTAAGCATACAAAATATATAGCATTATCAAAACTACAGCAATTGACAAGTAGGTTATACATACAAAAGAATATACCTGCATTCCATACTAGGAACTAAATACCCAAAAAAAAAAAATTTTTCATCATACAGCAATCAACTCTCAGTTAGGAAATTTGGCACCTACTGTTAGAGCATATGAACCAATGGGGGACTGAAGCTGGTCTGATTCATCACTGGCCAAATCAATTTCCAACCTAAAAGCTAAAGCATAAGTGAGGGCAAACTACTCAAACGAAAGTTTTAAAACATCTTAAAGTATCAATAGAATGCATGAAAAATTCAATCAATCACATGGACCCAGCATAGGAATCAAACCTGCTCTTGAACCTGCCTTGCTTAATTATGACATAAACAAAAAACTGATGCAAGCAAAAAATTTGGGAAGAGGCCCCAAATTTTTGCAAGCAAAAATAAGACTTTCCTACGTAATAGAAAATACATGAAATACCCAAAAGACACAAAATACGACAATTGAACCAAAAATTTTTCAATTAATAAAATAAAAGGACTTACAAACTTTGACGCTTACAAACGACACAAACATTAACATATACTCCTAAAACGGCTTGCCAAACGTTGAGAAGAATGATACAGGTGGGGTGGATACTTGCGGGAAGAAGAATGAGGTTAGAAGACGAGACGAAACATAGCTCGCAAGCTATAGAGAGGAGAAGAGGAAGATGTGGCATAGCTCGCAAGCTATCCAAAAAAACCCTGAGGTTTTGCTATCCAAAAATTACATTTTTTTTCCCACCTTTTTTGACAAAACAACACCACATATTTATAGGAGAGAAAGGGGAGACAAACATCCACTTAAAACTAATAAAAAGAGGAAAATAGAAGGCCAAGAGACATTCAAAACAACAGCTGAAAAGGCACCCAAAATATCAGCCAAATTCATCCCAATCTAGCTTACAAGGAGCGGAACTAGCAGAAGCCGGGAGGCCAGGAAAAAGGGGGCGGAACCCCAACACCCTTTTCACGGGAAGAACAATAGCCAAGGGAAAACCGAGAAGACCAAGGGGAAGTCACGGAAACAGCAACAGCCAAGGCCCCAAACCGAGAACAGCAAGCAGCCCAATGACAAGAAGAAATTAAAGATGATTTGACCCCCCCCTTGCCTACATCAATTCTGATGAGGGCATCAGATTTCGACACGTGTACCATCGCCGGAGACGCCGATCGACGACCTTGATTCAGAGCCTTTATTTTTTATGCTTTAGTTTATTCATGACTTTTATTTCATGTTTTTCCTTTTGTACCCCTATGAGGGAATTAGTACTTATTGTAGCCCAAGGGCGTTTTCGTCTTTATGCATTTTATTTCTTGATAGCCTATATAAAAAGGCTTTGTCATTGTATTTGAGATGTTATTGAATGAATGAAAATTTTCGTGCTTTGTTCTCTTTGTGAGTGCATGAAGATCTCTTGGTGAGTTCTTCCATTGAGATCTCTTAGTGAGTTCTCTAATTCTTCCTTTTCTTTAATTGCTTTTCTTAATTTTCTTCTCACAAGAAAACTCTACAAAAATTCCCCTCCCCATAGCTCTTGCCGCCAGCCCCTCCCTAAGGCTTCCCGCCACCGGCAAAGTCCACCACCACCGGCTGCCCACCTCGCCGACGATCCCTCCCATACGGTTCATTCCATATCTCCATCAACTTCAAATTGGAGATTTGAAATTCAAATTTTGAATTGTTTCCTAATTTGGAAATCCAAATTAGGAAAGTTTTCATGAGCAAATAAATTTCAAATCAAATTAATTTGGAGTTTTAAATCCCTTG